CAAAAGTGGGTCACGCAAACTTTGTAGAACTGGTGCAGAAGACAAGAGGGAAAGAGAGAAGGAAGAAATAAAAATAAGAACAGAACCAAACAGAACAAAAGCAACAAAACCCCAAACCATGTTCATTCACATATAAAAACAACAAACAATAAAGAAGAAACAAAAAAATAAGGAAGAAAAAAAAATCAAGAAACAAACAATAAAGAAAAGAAGAATTATCCTCTGTGGCCAGTCAATAGACAATATGAGCTGAGAGTCTAGACCCATGCCAGTCAACCCCAGCAATTCCATGGTGGAGTAGAGGATAATCCCAGTAAACCTGCAATCCTATTTTCCTTGAGGTTCAGATTGGCCTCTGACTGTGAGCTTGGAAATAGACCCACCCAGGCCACTTCAGTCTCTGTATCCCCTGTGGGCTTGACCTTTGTTCTGAGCCACTAGGTGGAGCCGGCAGCCACTCAAGGTCCTAAGCTCAGTTGGCCCTTCTCCATTAGGGTTCCCAGCCAATTGCCCTCTGTGGGATGTCTGACTAGGACAAGTCACCAGCCACTGTAGTCCACCGCATCCAACACACTACTCCACTTGTATGCTTCTCCAGGGAGGCCCCTAAGTTGCCAGTCTCTAGGGTTGCCAGCCTGTGGGATTGCCAGCTGTTCCCATGCATCTGCAGTTTCAAGCCACTCTTCCTCATGCAGGCTCCGGCAGAAAGTGCTACCTGCCCCTTACTTCTTCTTCATTGAAATTTTTTCTTCACTCTCTCTGTGGACAAGTTTTGCTTCAGATCTTTCCTGGGTCTTGGGGACCCACTTCTCTCCTTTTTCTTTTCTTTACATTCATAAATTCCACTGCTCAGACACCAAATCTTTGAAAGGCTTTTTCTTTGCTGCTCACCACACTGCCATCCTCCCCAGAGGTGAGGAGCTCTAATTTGTTTTCCATTTTTTAAAATATATACTAGATAGTAGTCTTTTGAGGAATAGCTGGAAAAAATTTTCCCCACACTGGGGGTTATCTCTTCACTCTGTTGGTGATTTATCTTGCTGTGCAAAACTTTTTTACACAAAGCTTCCAAATTTGTCATACAGACTTAATGCAATCCAAATCAAAATTCAAACAGCATATCTCACATAATTAGAGAAAATAATCCTAAAGTTCATTAAGAGCCAGAAGATAGCTAGAATAGCAAAGGCAATTCTGGGCAATAAAGGCATGGTGGGAGGCATCCTAATCCCTGACTCGAAATTATACTACAAAGCTATTGTGATAAAAACAGCATGGTACTAGCAAAAAAACCAGACCTGAGGATCTATGAAACAGATTAGGAGATGCAGCGATAATTCCAAACATACTTAGCCTTAGCACCCTATCTCCAACAAAGGTGCCAAATACCCTCACTGGAAGAAAGACAACCTCTTTAGTAAATGGTGCTGGAAAAGCTAGCTTTCTATGTGCCAAAGATAACCCTAGATGCACATCCTCCACTATGCACTGAACTAAGATCAAAATGGGTCAATGATCTAAATATTAAAACAGAAACACTAAGTCTACTGGAAGATAGAATAGGTAGAATTATTGAACATAGAAGTGCAGGCAAAGACTTTATGTACAAAACCCCAACACACAT